ATTTTGGATTCAAAGATTAAACAAAATACTATAGTCAATGTTCCATAAAAAAATAGTTGACATACCCATGTTAAAATTAAATCCATGTTGAAGCCTCTGTATAACAGTAGACAAGAAATGTCTGGTTACTCCCTCACCAATGGCAGCATCCCCTGAATGTAACAGCAATTTACAGCAACAGTCCAAAAAAAAAAAAAAGAGAGACATGGCCATTAAAACCTAACTAGGAATGCCACTAAATAAACGTATTTACTTGTTTAACCTTGGAGTCTGCACTTCACAGGGCTTGCCCATTCTATGCCATTTTGTTTGTAGAATGCAACAAGTTCTCTGTCTTGATCTTCATTGTCCATCCTCAAATCCATGGTCATCAAGAGGGGCTTTCTCATCTCATGTTGGCAAATTATTTCCTTTGTGTATAAGGATGCTGCTTTATTTTTATCTGGTTCAGTTTTCCAATCTGCAAAAAAAAAACACAAAAGCAACATGTCAACAGTTCAGCTAAAGCTAAATGTGTATTCTATTTCAGTTTTACATCTCAGAAATGTATTATGCTTATCAGTTCCAAAAAAAAGAAATGCATACCATAACTCATGCTTGTGGCTTCAGCTGCATTTGAATGATCACCGGTATGTGTCACAGGCACGGAAAATCCAGATGTAGATGGTTCCTCCATAGACGCATTGAATTCCAGAGGTGGCGTGCTTACAATATAATACACAAACTTCATTACCACACTTAAATGAAGGAACAAAAGTCCTTTATAAATGGATGACCTCAATTTCAACATAAAACACAATATTCAATTCACAATTGTATAGTGAAGAAGACCTGTGGCAATCCTAACAGCACACATAATGAAAGTACAAAAAACAACAAAAAATTAAAATCACTGAATTGACTGGAAATATGTTGTGCGCTTTCAAAAAAACAATTATTTTCCTCACCTGTCACCTGTGCAAAAACTTGCGTGAACCTCTATCACATCAAGAGGCATTTCATTTTGACAGATGGGGCAAGATGCCTAGAGGAAACAAACAAAAACAATATAATATAACTTTTCTTTCATGTTGTTTCAACCATGTATGAGTTTCTTTATCATGGATGGGACAACAAGATATTCTGAAGACTAATCATTAGATGTGAAAAAAAAATATCTTCCAATTATTTATTGAATTATTTTTTGTGTTTTAAAGTTATACAGATTATGAATGACACATGAAAGACTAGAAGACAGAATTTTCCCTTTAACCTGCATATGCAAGAAACAAAAACACAGAGAAATGCAATGTGTTATCAGAATTATTTAAATAATTTGCGGTTTCCAAAAGCAGCTCTAAAAAACTGTTTAAAAAAAATATTTATCATACCTTATTAAACTTCCAAATTATGTATTTAAATTAAATTAACTATTTTAATATATCTTACTTGATTGGTCTGTTCAGCTTCATCAGTTGTCACACAGGACTTTATGTGTGCAGTCAGGATGACTAATGGATAAGTGATTCCACATTTCTGGCATTTCTCTTTTGGCATGTCATTAAAGCTTTCAGATTCAGGTGGCAGAGCAGTGGTGTCAAGTTCCATTTGAAGAGGAGCTATGTAAAGCACTCCTTTAAAACCTTGTGTTGCTGCCTTCAAATGCTTGGCACTGTACCCACTCTCATCGGGTGGAATAAGGTTGAGCTTCCGGGAGCCCCATCCTCCTTAAAAAA